TCATGATCCACCCGCCTCGGCCTCCCAAAGTGCTGGGATTACAGGCTTGAGCTACCACGCCCGGCCGAGAGACATTATTTTTTATTTTTTGAGATGGAGTTTCACTCTTGTTGCCGTCTGGAGTGCAATGGTCTGATCCCGGCTCACTGCAACCTCCACCTCCTAGGTTCAAGCGATTCTCCGGCCTCAGCCTCTGAGCAGCTAGGATTACAGGCATGTGCCACCATATCCAGCTAATTTTGTATTTTTAATAGAGATGGGGTTTCTCCATGTTGGTCAGGCTGGTCTCAAACTCCTGACCTCAGGTGACCCACATGCCTCAAACTCCCAAAGTGCTGGGAGAGACACTATTTTTAATTCCTTTCTGACCATGAAAAAAGCACAAAAATGTCAGGGCAGTCACTCACCACTCTACCCCACCCTGTTTCCTCTAGTCCCATCAGAGAAAATCATAGTCTGCACGAGTTCACATTGAAAACGGGACAGGCAGAGGATGGAAGCCAACAGGACCACCTCAGTTTGCATGATTTCAACATTTATGTTAGCACAGAATTGTATTGAAATTCTTTCCTTCTCTGGAAAGGAAAGAGAAAAGAATGAGTAAAAGGCCCAGGGCATTGTCTGGGAGAAGGTCCTCTGCAGAAAAGCATGGGACTGGGGGAAAAGGCTCCCCACTAACAGCAGCAAAACAAGCCAGGGAAGCGCGCAATGCCTCCCATTGGGATTCCTACCCTCCAAGCACAGATGCTCCTCACCTGACAATAGACTTATGTTCTGATAACCCCATTGTGAGTTTAAAATATGGTAAGTTGAAAGTGCATTTAAGGCTGGGCGTGGTGGCTGACGTCTGTAATCCCAGCATGTTGGAGGCCGAGGCAGGCGGATCATGAGGTCAGGAGTTCAAAACCAGCCTAGCCAATATAGTGAAACCCTGTCTCTACTAAGAAAGAAAAATTTAAATTAGCCAGGTGTGATGGTACACACCTATAGTCCCAGCTACTCAGGAGGCTGAGGCAGGAGAATCACTGGAACCCAGTAGGCAGAGGTTGCAGTGAGCCAAGATAGAGCCACTGCACTCCAGCCTGGGCAACAGAGCAAGACTCCATCTCAAAAAAAAAGAAAAGAAAGAAAAGAAAGGAAAGAAAGGAAAGAAAGAAAGAAAGAAAGAAAGAAAGAAAGAAAGAAAGAAAGAAAGAAAGGGAAGGAAGGAAGGAAGGAAGGAAGGAAGGAAGGAAGGAAGGAAGGAAGGAAGGAAGGAAGAAAGGAAAAGAAAAGAAAAGAAAGGGAAAGACAAGACAAGACAAGACAAGAAAGAAAAGATAGTGAAGAAAGTGCATGTAATTTAATACACCTAATCAAGCCAGGGATGGTAGCTCATGCCTGTAATCCCAGCACTTTGAGAGGCCAATGCAGGTGGATCACAAGGTCAGGAGTTCAAGACCAGCCTGGCCAACATAGTGAAATCCTGCCTCTACTAAAAATACAAAAAATTAGCCAGGCATGGTGGCTGTTGTAGCCAAGCAAGTTAGAAGGAACACAAAACGCTCTCATTTCAAATTCAGAGTCTTTTATTGATTTGCCAGCGACCGAGAGACGGCTAATGCTCAAAATTCTCTTGGCCCCGAGGAAAGGGCTTGGTTGTCTTTTATACCTTGATTTAGGTAGGGGAGGGGGAGCCTAGCTGAAGTGGAATTTTACAGAAGCAGAAAAGCAGGTTAGAGGAAGGGGCTGCAGGCACAGGTGTCACCAAGAAGGGGGCTGTTCAGGCTTCTTCTACACAATGATCAAAGGGAAATTTTTTTCTTACAATAGCAGGTGGGGGTGGGGGAGGTGTATGCCAAGCAGGACGCAGTTACAATGGTTACAACTGTTAGGAACAGTATGCTTCAGTGCTTCTAAGTGCAGCATTACCCAGTTATGCACTCAGAGGGGCTGTGGTAGGGAGGGGGAAGCCAGGTTGGAGTTTACAGCTAAGATGGAGTCAGTGATGCTAGCCCAGAGTAGGTTATTACAGTGACAGGCGCCTGTAATCCCAGCTACTTGGGAGGCTGAGACAGGAGCATCACTACTTGAACTCGGTAGGCGGAGGTTGCAGTGAGCTGAGATCACGCCATTGCACTCCAGCCCAGGCGACAGTGGGAGACTCCATCTCAAGATAAAAAAATACGCCTAACCTACCGAATGTTCCAGTGTAGCCTCGTCTGTCTCAAATGTGCTCAGGACACTGACATTACACTACAGTTAGACAAAACAATTGAACGCAAAGCCTATTTTAGAATAAAGTGTTGAATACCTCATGTAATTTATTGAACCCTGTACTGAAAGTGAAAAACGGAATGGTTGTATGGATACTTGAAATACATTTTCTACTGAGCTACCTATTGCTTTTACACCCATCACAAAGTAAAAAAAAAAAAAAAATCATAAATCAAACCATCATAAGTCAGGGACTGTCTGTAGTTCACCACATATGTGAAAGACAAGTCAAACAGATACCAAAAGAAGAAAATTCAGCACGATTTATCAAGCATCGACAATGTGCAAAGCGCTAAGCTACGTACTGGGAATACGGGAATAAATTCACATTCAAGGTGACCAAGCCTGGGATCAAACCCTACCACTGTGTCATTGTGGGCCTTGAAGAGTTTTATGGTATAAACATTCAACTACTTTGGGAAATAATCTTTCTCTGATAAGGATATTTAGATAAGAAGGTTTTTCCCCCTTATCTAAATATAATCTAGGCATTTACGCTGAATTCTGGGGATTCAGTAGAGAAGGAAACAGAGTTCCCATGGAGCCTACATTCCACCATCATGACAACTCTGCTTTTGGAGAACACCCTAAGACCAGCTCCACCCACCAGAGAAAAATTCTAGATGGGGCCGGGCATGGTGGCTCACGCCTGTAATCCCAGCACTTTGGGAGGCTGAGGCGGGCGGATAACTAGGTCAAGAGTTGGAGACCATCCTGGTCAACATGGTGAAACCCTGTCTCTAAAAAAAAAAAAAAAAAAAAAATTCTAGATGATACATTAAAGTCCCCTGTACTCTATTATCCTATGATTTTTCTTTATCTTTTTAGAGACAGGGTTTCACCATGTTGGTCAGGCTGGCCTCGAACTCCTGACCTCATGATCCCCCCACCTCAGCCTCCCAAAGTGCTGGGATTATAGGCGTGAGCCACCGTGCCCAGCCTCTGTGATTTTTCTTTAACTCTCTTGGCCTCTTTCTTCTTTGAGCTCCTAAGTTTCATGCAGTGTATGAGTTTCCTTCTGGTCATGCCACACTTACTGCACCTATAGGTACCTCTTCCCTCTGGAAGCCTTCCCTGTAGCCTTAGCAGGCTGGGCTTTGTGGTTTTGTGCTGCGCTCTTGGCACTCTTCGTGGGCTTCTACTAGTGGGTGAATCTCATTTTATATTCCTCACTTTAGTGCAGGGGCAGTTTCTCATTGAACTTTACACCCTCTAACACCAATCAGTACCTGGAATAGAACAGGCACTTAATAAATACTTGTTGCACTGAGCAATCTGTAGGGGCCAAGGTGGAAAGTTTTCCCTTTGCCCTCTTAAGGTTCACTACAAAATCTACTTGCAAAAGGCAGATTAATTGGAGAAAAGGCATATAAATGTATTTAATGTGTATACCTGGGAGCCTTCAAATGAAGACCCAAAGATATAGAGGAAATTGTCCATTTTTATGCCTAGGTTCAACAAAATATGGGCACTGGCATATAAATATGATTGGACAAAAAGGGTATGATCTAAGACTAATAGAGAGGGAAAACCCAGCAAGTCTGTCTGTCTAGATGCTTCTTGGCCTGAGTACACACCCTTTCCTTCTGCGTATGGGACAGGAGCCCCTCTGGAATGGGAGTCTTATGACCTACAGTCAAACACGGGAAGTCAGATAAGTCTTTATGGCCAGATTTTACACAGAATGGCAGAGGGAAAGTGCCCACAGTCATGGTATTAATTCCCTCTTTGCAAAGCGCTTGGTGACTTAAAACAACAGAAATGTCTTGTCTCACATTTCTGGTGATTCGAAGTCCAAAATCAAAACATCAGCAGAACCAAACGCCAAGCTCCCTCTGAAATCTGCAGGGGAGGATCCTTCCTTGTCTCTTCCTAGCCTCTCTCTGGTGGTGGCAGGCAATCCGGCCGCACTCCTGGGCTTACAGCTGCATTACTCCTATCTGCCCCTGTCCCGCCACATTCCCGTCTGTCTCTGTCTTCCTGTGGCATTTGACACCGTGTGATAAGGACATTAGTCATGTTGAATGAGGGTCCAGCCCAGTGACCCCATCTTGACTTGACTACATGTGTGAAGATGCAGTTCCCAAGTTAGGTTGCATTCACAGGTGCTGGAGGTTAGGTCTTCAATATGTCTTTGGGAGTGGGGACACAGTTCAGTCCGTAGCACCCTTGTTGTATAGGTAGTGCTGCTTAGGCATCCAGCCAATAGACCTGTTTATTTACTGCAGTCAAAATACCTTCTCCCCTTCCTCCTCCCAGCCCAATGACACAGAGGTGCTTTGTGGGCAAGACATTTGCAGGGCGTGGCCATTATTCTAAGCCTACCGCACTCCAGGCACCTTACAACCTCTCTTCTATGAGTTTGCACCCCCGACCCCCGCTAATGTTCTAGGGGGCCAGTCTTCTGTTTCGTAATTAGAAGAGTCTTGAAATAAGCACTCAGGGTTGTGCTTATAATAATAAACACCAGGCAAAGGGGAGAGGAGGTACCAGAGATAAACATTATTTGAGTGGCAGCAGCTTCCTCTGACCTTCGACGAGATAAAGAGACATCACAGCCGGCAAGAGTTTGGGACAGATGATCCCGAGTCCACAGACTCCCCAGACTCAGAGGCCGGGGCAGAAGGGGACCTGGGGCCGCGTGGAGTGGGGGGACCCAAGGCGGGGAAGGCCCTGGCCGCCGGCAGGGGACGCGCGAGGGCCTCTGGGCGCCGCGAGTGGGGCGGGTGCTGGGGCAGGAGCGGCCTAGGCGCAACTTTTTGGTTGGTGCCACCCCGCCCAGGCCCTTTTTAAACTTGTTTTCCGCGGTTCCCTTCCTTTTCGACCGCGGCGCGTGACTGGGTAAGTGGGCTCCGACTTGCCGGACGCGGGAGCCGGCCAAGCGGCTCCAGGGCTCCCCCTTGCCCTTCTAGGCGCGCCCCTCGCGGCCCCCTTGCCCACCCCGGCCTCGGCTCAGCGCCGCGGGGAAGCCTCCGTTAGGGCTCCTCGGGGGTGGGGGGCGTCCTCGTGGCAGCTGGACCCTTCGTCCCGGGTTAGGACTGCCGGTGTCCTCGTGCGCTTGAAGGGGCAGCCCCCCTTCCTCGAGGATCCCACCCCCACCCAGCAGAAGCTGCCAGGCGCCCGTCAGCGCCCGCCCCTGAGCCCCTGCGGTCAACGGATCCGGCCTACAGGCAGCTTTTAGTCCCTTTTCAATTAAAGAAATGATTGCATTTTGAGGATCAAATTCCGACTGCGGGCGGAGGCGCCGAGCCCTGGACGGTCTCCGGGTTCTTGGCGCACCCGGGGTTCCAGCCTGACCGCGCGGGCTGACGTTGCCTATTTAGGAAGTGAGATCTGAGGTCTGAAGCGCTTTAAGATTCCAAGCGGGGCAGTATAATAGTGGGGTCACCAATCTCACGGAGGTCACTTCACTCGCGCAGCCACCAGCACCCGCCACCAGTGCCGTTCATTTGCTACTGGCCCGCAGTCGGATAATTTAAAAGGCCCAGAGGGACGAGTCTTGCTGGAGCCCAGGCCAGCAGTGAGTTGAGCAGAGCCCTGTGAGCCCTAATAAAGGAGCCTGCGGTTCCTCCTCAAGATCTGCTTTTTCAGAGTGGCCAGAGCGTTGTACAACACAGGGCCAGCTTCCAACATTTTCAGGGTGTGAGGAGGCCCTTCCTGGTTTTCTGTCCTGGGAAAAGTCTGAACTACTGGGTTCTGACTGGGACAAGGACAAGGCTTTGAACGCCTAACATATGTCTACTAAGGTGCAGGAATACGCAAGGCTGCCCTAGAGAACGTTTGTCTTGGGAAGGGGAGTGTTTGGAGCGGCTCTCTTTTAATTGTTCACTACTGGTACAAATTGCCATATAAAGGGATACTTCGCGAATTTAGTAAAATCGATAAAGATCTACATTTAGATTTGAGTCATCAAAGGAAAGAATCTTTGTGGCTATCATAGGTACCACAGTTTTCTGTTGAAATGTGAAGCTTGTGGTTTGTGTTTTCCTCAGTTGTGAAAGATTGCTGCCTTTTTAATGAAACCAAATGCGACCCATTTTACCATGCTTTAACAAGGAAAACTTGTACGTTTGCAGTCTGGGTTCTAGGCACCTTTTTTCCAGCGATATAGATGGGCCCAGAGCATGGACAATTTTCCTTCCCTGGAATAGCTCCAGCTCTGGCGAATAGCCACAAACGGCACAGGAAGATGGCAGTGGCGAGGCCTTGTTTTACGTGTTAGGGATTCTTACTGAGTCAAATTGTTTTAACTATTCAATTTAAACTGTGAGAGACACTATGTCAAGGAAGCAGTGTGAGCTAGTGTCTACTTAAGGATTGTGAAAACTGAGCAAGTTCCCAGAACTAGAAACTTCTCAGCCCCCTGAACTCAGCCTCAGGGTAAACGAGTTTAGTGCTTCCTTTGATTTTTTTTTTTTTTTTTTTTGAGACTGAGTCTCTTGCTCTGTTGCCCAGGCTGGAGTGCAGTGGAACGATTTCAGCTCACTGCAACCTCTGCCTCCTGGGTTCAAGTGATTCTCCTGCCTCAGCCTTCTGAATAGCTGGGATTACAGGCATGGCTACCACAACAGGCTAATTTTGTATTTTTAGTAGAGACAGGGTTTCTCCATGTTGGCCGGGCTGGTCTCTAACTTGTAACCTCAGGTGATCCGCCCACTTCAGCCTCCCAAAGTGCTGGGATTACAGGCATGAGCCACTGCGCCAGCCTATTCTTTTAATTTTTAAATCTGTGGAAGGTTTGTTTCATTTTTCCTAGGCAAATATTGTTGGGATAATGTTTCTTTTCAAAAATGGATAGTATTTGATGCTGATGAATGGAAAGATGGTGACTTGACCATTTTTTTCCAAGCTAGAAACTACAAAAGACCCCCAAGTGTCAGGAAAAATTTGGAGAATGTAGCTTTGTATAAGAATTATATTCAGAGATAGCAATTTATTTACTCCTCAAAGGTAGCTAGTGGATAGCCACTATAGAGACCACTCCATAAAAAAACAAAATTGCATGATATTCTTAACATTGTCTTTCACTTTTTTTAACCAGGTGTGGTGGAGTTTCAAGATGGCTGATGAACTTAAGGTATGGGCCAAATGGAAAGAATTTGGGTTAAGTTATTAATAGTTGAATTGAAATCCTGGCCAAGGATGAGAACTCTAATCTGATTTCATATGCTTCTGCTCTGATGGATTAAAGGATTTACCTGAGGCCAACTTGATATGCAGGAATTTATTAGATGGAATCACACCACTGCCCCTTTTAAAATTACGCTTTAGATAAACATGGGGAGAAGCTCTTAGTAAATAGATAATACTACTAAGTCAAGAGAAAAGCAGGATTTTGAGTAAAAAAAAATAAATTTAGCTGTCACAACATTGTGTAAGACAGCAACAATGTGTAAGATATTGGGGAATGTTATTTACTTACTTGCAGTTTTTGTAAACATAGTCTAGAGAGTACTGTATTTTGCTATTTAGTAATACCTACTGTGATACTTTTTTTTTTACAGGTCTGGTGCTTGAAAGAATCAGTGAAACTTTTCAAGTAGATGAGATGTATTTGGATATGTTACCTTTAGTATCTACAGAATAGAGGTTGCTTTTTTTGGTTGTTCTTTTCATAGTGGTAGCAAGGGTGAATTTTGAGATGGCCCCAACCTATAAGTTTTGTGTCTCTGCCTTATAGTTGAGTTCATCCTGTAGAAAATTTTTATGGAATTCAATTTCATTATTTAAAGTAGTTTTTCTATGAACCAGCTGTGGTCTGTAACTTGACAGTGTTAATACCAAAGAGCAATACATTAATCATGTTCATATACTCAACAAAGATGTGATTTAACTCTTCTTAAGATTGTTATTTTACAATATAGTCTTTTTTTCTTTTTTCCTTTTGTAGTTTATGAGATCTGAGTCTTTTTTTTTTTAAGGCTCCACTCTTGTTTCCCAGGCTGAAATACAGTGGTGTGATCTCAGCTTACTGCACCCTCTGCCTCTTGGGATCATTCTCCTGCCTCAGGTCCACAAGTAGCTGGGAGTACAGGCACACACCACCACACCTAGCTAATTTTGTATTTTTATATATTTTTGTTTTGTTTTGAGTCTTGTTTTGTCTTGTGCCCAGGCTGGAGTGTAGTGGCACAATCTCTACTCACTGCAACCTCCACCTTCCAGGTTCAAGTGATTATCCCGCCTCAGCCTCCCAAGTAGCTGGGATTACAGGCTAATGTTTGTAGAGATGGGGTTTTGCCATGCTGGCCAGGCTGGTCTCAAACTCCTGACCTCAGGTGATCCACCCACCTCGGCCTCCCAAAGTGCTGGGATTACAGGCACAAGCCACCATGCCCACCCGGTATAGTCTTCAACATTACTGTTGAGCCATATATAGGACAATGGTGGAGGAATATTTGCACATCTATAGTAAAATGCAATGCTATCTTCATTTTTTGTTGGTATGCTAAAGAAACTTTTTAAAGTATCTCACTTTGGTTTGTGTATTTTATGTGCTTATACATTTTTCCATAGTACTGTACATCATTTTAGTGATTAAATTTGACACTTTTGACAGAAAAACAAGTCCTTGGGATCAAAAAGGCATTAATTGCAAATGGACAGGAGGGAATCATTAGAGTGATTCTACAGTTGTTCTGCATCTAATTATGGTATGACTATGCATTTGTCAAATCTTAACAGGATGAATTTTACTGAATGTAAAATCATACTTCAATAAACATGACTTTATAAAAACTTAACCCTCCTTGGCATTTCAGTGGCATTTCCAGTGAAATCTACGTATGGCAAGGTGGTTTGGGGGTCACTATTTACATTAACTGCCAAGTTGAAATAGCAAAAATGCATCAAAGTCACTCTTGGGACATAAGTCACAGAGGTGACTCATGCACAGAATAAATACCTGAGAAGCAGGGCCAAATGACACTTATGTATCGGCATGCTCATCAGTACTGTGAAAATTTCTCTTCTGGACGGCAACAACACTGCTGTATCCACTTCACAGCAGCATTTTAAGTCTCATCTGTGATGTGTCCATTATGTCCATCTCCATAAGAGATGGCACAAAGTGGGATATGGAAAATCTGTTACATGTGCCGTTACTCTGAATACTATGGCTTCCCTGCAGTGTTGCTTTCCATATTGGCTGTTTTCCATTCCAAGAAAGCTTAGGATGTTCTTGACAAATACTGGCTAACCAAGAAATTAGAAAAATGAAAGGAAGCGGAGTAATTGGTTTGGGGTTGAAATGAGTTGATGCTGCATAAACCACATGGTTGACTCTGAAAGACTGGCTGAAAAGAGCCAGTCTGCGTTCCTTGTCCCTATTGCCTTAGAGTAATCAAGGATGCTTCTTAAAAAGGATAGATTCAAGTATGGGTTGTGAGTCATTGTTCTTTTCTGTGTGTAATAGGTCTAACTGTTGAGCCCTGCCCTGGTGACCAAGTATTTGCTGACATAAGTTGTGTCACCTTGCCTGTATGAGCAAAGTACTTCAGATGTCCCTTATGATTCTAAGTTTGATACCTTCCCTGCCACTCCCCCACTACCAAATCTCCTTAACTTATACCCTAGCAATGCAGAGTTGTCCAATATAGAACCTGATTAAGCATAGCACCACCCAGGAAAATGGAATGAGTGGTTACAGTCAGTGCCACAGTTCTGCAGAATCAACTTGCCTGCCTTAGTACAGTGCACGTCTACATGTTTAGCAGAGCTAAAAGCAGGAATGGACTACTAAACCACCATTTTGTGCTCAAGCGCCATGAAGAGAAGTAAGCCTGGAGTTGAATGAAATGTTTTTGTTTAAAGAGGACTTAAACTAATTTCAAGTGAGAAACTTGGGCATGTGAATCTTTAATTATGACTATAAAAAATTGTGACTGGAAATGTAATTTTTATGCTAATGGTTATGATTTCATTGAAAGTAGAAAATCTTATTTAAGAACTCTGGTCACCAAACCTTCCCAGGTAGTGACGTAAAACCCAGTGTAACAATTGTGGCATTGGCATGACATGTCAGTTCATGTAGATTTGAGTCACAATTTGATTTCAAGAATGGCCATATCCCATTTTATCTTACTCTGCCAGTGTTCCTAAGCACTTGAATACAAATCGATTGTTTCCTAAAAGTAGCCAAATCTTTGTAGTTCAAGTGAATATTCCAGACTGAAATATATGTCTTTTGAAGGTCCTTAAGCCTTAGGTATTTAATTATATAATTTGGCAAATTTTTGCTGTTTTTTGTGTTAAGTCCCGTAATAGAGACAAATCCTACCTTTCTGAAGCTTTCACAGTGTGACTCATTTTAGTATGTAAGTCGGAACCAGTTTTTTTTTTTTTTTTTTGAGACGGAGTTTCGCTCTTGTTACCCAGACTGGAGGGCAATGGCGCGATCTCGGCTCACCGCAACCTCCGCCTCCTGGGTTCAGGCAATTCTCTTGCCTCAGCCTCCTGAGTAGCTGGGATTATAGGCATGCGCCACCATGCCCAGCTAATTTTTTGTAGTTTTAGTAGAGACGGGGTTTCACCATGTTGACCAGGATGGTCTTGATCTCTTGACCTCATGATCCACCCGCCTCGGCCTCCCAAAGTGCTGGGATTACAGGAGTGAGCCACCGCGCCTGGCCCCGAACCAGTTTTAATAGAATGTGCTTTGGTTGACATCTGTTGTAAGGAATACTTTCATTTCGTGTCGGGGTCAATATCTGAAAGATTAAATTGTTAGGGCAAACTGAAAAGATCTAGTTATACCTTCCCACACCACATTCCCAAAATAATTTAGGGTGGTTTACAACAAATATCAAGCAACAATAATTAGCAGATAAAAGCTCAGCAAGTAGAAAGCAAGAATAAAAAAACTAAGCCATTAGACCTCATGCTGTAGGCTCCAGCCAAGTTGGCTCTGAGCTTCCTAAGAACAAAGAACCAACTGGCAAGTTAGTAATCTGACAATTGCCCTAATTTTCTAATGGAAGAGGGGAGTGGTCTTTTGCATTCTAAGCTCCTAAAGCCAAGTGAGGATGTTTTCTTCATGGTCTCAAGTACTGTACTTTGAAGGAAGGAATGGATCAGAAGGTGTCTGCATAACTAAATGTTGATCTACAGAAAATGGAGGCTGCCTCTGGAGCAGGGAGCTCAGTGGACCAGATGATCTGGTGGGTCTGGGTCAACTCAGCTGATTGTCAAAGCCAAAACCGGGGATATCTTTCCTCTTGAGGAGACAAAAGCCATGCTCAGTTTCTGTGAACAGATAGCCAGAGATCTGTTTGAAAGGCTTATTTTCATTTTGTACTAGAAACATTGCCTTTCCAAAATTTACTTTGTATTCATAAACTGGAAAGTTCTGATGACAATATTTTGTTGTAAATACTGACATTGATCACAATCCAGGATTATGCCACCATGACTAGAAGGCCCCCTCATGGAGTTTATCTGCACTGCAAGGGGCCAATTATTGGAATCATCCTCCAGTGACATCTGCATCTCCAGGACAGCTCCACACCAATCTGTTTCAAAGACACAGACAAAATCTGGTCAAATCAGTTTGATGTACGTTTCTGGGAACAGAGCCGAATGTTGTAGCTGAGGGAATGAAGTTTCATACGATTGGTTTTGCAGCTGGACAAGTGCCCTGCCATGTTACTGCTACTCTTTAAGGCAGAATAGAGCACATTGTGTCATTTATATGCCTCTCACAGTGAGAAATAAGCGAAACTTCAGGAATTAAGAGTCTAAAACTGCAGTCCAATGGGGTAGCCACTAGTCATGTATACTACTGAGCACCTAAAATGTGGCTAGACCAAGTTGACATGTGCTATAGGGTGAAAAACAGGAGTGAAGAATTGACTTGAAAGAATGTAAACGATCTCAATTTTATATTGATTGCAAATTAAATGTTTTGAATATATTGAGTTAAATGCTTTTTTTTTAGATACATGGTGTGCATTATATTTCTATTGGACCGTACTGGTCTAAAACAGTTGATTCACCCCCCAGTAGAGAGAAAAGTATTGCTGTTTTACCATATAGGAACTTCAGGGGAAAGAAGAATAAAATTAGTAATTGAAAATGCAAAATTTAAGGTAAACATTTTTCGAATGTTACCTGCAGAAGGTGCAGGGGTAGAGAGTCAGCACTACTTAGAAGATTTGACATAAATTCTTCACTCAAGCTGCTAGTACTTTTGGAGATTTTATTTTACTTTTGGCATGGAGTCTCTGTTGCCAGGCAGGAGTGCAATGGCGTGATCTCGGCTCACCACAACCTCCGCCTCCAGGTTTCAAGCGATTCTCCTGCCTCAGCCTCCCAAATAGCTGGGATTACAGGTGCCCACCACCGCACCCAGCTAATTTTTGTATTTTTAGTAGAGATGGGGTTTCATCATCTTGGCCAGGATAGTCTCTGTCTCTTGACCTCATGATCCACCCAGCTTGGCCTCCCAAAGTGCTGGGATTACAGGTGTGAGACACCACGTCCGGTCTGGAGACTAAATGAAAGACTTCAGAGTGTATTTAGTAAACACTTTACTATGCCCACTTTGCAAGCATTTCATTAAAATAATCAAGAGTAGGCCAGGTGCAGTGGCTCACACAATGGCTCCCATCCAGCACTTTGGGAGGCCAAGACAGGCAGATTGCTTGAGCTCAGGAATTTGAGACCAGCCTGGGCAACATGGCAAGACCCCATCTCTAAATCAATGTTAAAAAAATTTTTTTGAGATGGAGTCTTGCTCTGTCACCCAGGCTGGAGTGCAGTGGTGGTCTCAGCTCACTGCAATCTCCTGGGTTCAAGCAATTTTCCTGCCTCAGCCTCCCAATAGCTGGGATTACACATGCACACCACCATGCCTGGCTAATTTTTGTACTTTCAGCAGAGACGGAGTTTTACCATGTTGGCCAGGCTGGTCTCAAGCTCCTGACCTCAAGTGATTCACCCATCTCAGCCTCCCAAAGTACTATGATTATAGGTA